GTTATTCAAACTTGCGTCGGATCTGTGAGAGACATAAAATTCGGCGACAGAGAAGAAACTGGGACGGTGGGCATAGKGTGTGTCAAGGCATTAGAATCTATACCAAATCGACATTYTGACATTAACAGCATAGAAAGTTTTCGATTCACTCAATATTAGGTAAGCTGTATTTGTTAAAATRCTACCACTTTATGTTATGTACCACTTTAAAAGGTTTTTGATGTGTATGTTAAATGTTGTTCAAAGCTGTGCAAATGAGCTTCGATGATATCATCACGATTTCGATTGCATTCGATTTCGATGAGGGATAGTTTTTTTTCTTCATAACCGACACAATGCTACCGATARTTTTTCAGCTGTCGCWAACGGTTTGATCAATTTAATTTTCTAAATGGGCTGTATTCAGGCAATATGGAGGGAAAGCCSTGTTCGTAATTCGAAGGTGTTCRTGATAAAGGGTTGTTTGTTTGATGTTTTTTTTTTCATTAGATTGAATAATAAATCACTATTTCACACCTACGTTATCTAATAAAAAAACTAACTACAATATAATACTTTGGAGGTCTTCCTGAAGGTTTCTTTCATATCTGGTCGTAATACAGAGGTGTTCGTGTAGGAGAGGGACCTGTTCGACATAAGATGCTGCAATAATAAGGACGTGTCCGTAATAAAGAGCATTTTCAATGTCTTGTCATAACTGTTCGTTGAGGTTTACATGGCTAGATTTGAAGAGCGATCGATCGTTATAATGAGTTTCCTTGGTCATGATGAGAGACAAGATTAATAATGAAAAAAAAAGAAGAAAAGCAAAAAAGCAAAAAACAAACAAAAAAAACAAAACAAAACAAAAAACGTTTGAAGAAGACAGATGACAACCGCGACTTTATTGACTTCAAAAAAATAAATCCATCTTCGAATTGCCAAATGAGCCGATTCTTTGTATTTATACAGTTGCACACTTTGTAGTAATTCCGTCGCATTAATCAGCCCAGTTCCCTATAAAACCTTTAAGTAAGTCACGTCATTATACAATACAACTTGAATCCAAGAGAAGCAGCGACAATGAAGACACTGATATTGCTCTCCGTTTTAATAGGTAATTTCATGTCTTTTTGATATATTTTTTTTAATATTAGTTTTATTTTATTCCATTAACATTAATTCTTTCTTTTGTTAAGTGTTCCTCCTTTGGGYATCACCTAATCCGGCCGAAGCTTATAGAAAAGGTATGTATTTCAGARAAAGTAATACCGTTCACCAACYGTAGCATGCATAATACTAGCGCTGATTTTCCGTCGACCATGAAAAGTGTTACGAGAGAAAAATATAAAAAAAACATCTTCCCTTCTTATTATTATTGAAAACTATATATTCCACTCTGATTTCGGTTTATCAATATCTCAGTGTTCCTATATGTTCTATATGTTCTATATCTTCTAAATTAGTTTAGACGTACATGACATTTATCTAAATGGTACATAGTTATTTCCATAATTGAGTTTGCTATCAATTTTACCATTTAGACATCTAAATGGTACATAGTTATTTCCATAATTTAGTTTGCCATCAATTTTACCATTTAGAAATCAATTTAACCATTAAGACATAGGTTTTAGCAGGCTTACATGTCGATTCAGACACCAAAAATTAAAAAGAAAATGTTTGGCGAGATTGTCACTTCTCAATCTCATCATTCATTTCTTTCTAAAATCTTCTCTAAGGGCAATATTCGAATTTCTGAAAATTCGAATTCGAAAAATTTCCTTCTTGCGATCCGACAACGTTTTTTAATTAGYTATATACTGAATCGTAAATATTGTTTCCCAGGAAGGTGTGGTCGTCCCATCAAGCAGCCCCATTCACGAGTAATCGGTGGGGACGATGCTAATCGAGGTGCATGGCCATGGCAGGTTGCTCTTTATGCCTGGGACAAATATTACTTATGTGGAGGATCCTTGATCGATCGTGAATGGGTGGTGACCGCAGCCCATTGTATCTTCCCAAATGTAGAGTAGGTTATATATTTGTAACATTGGAGTATTTGTTATATATTTGTAACATTGCAGTAGAGCGCGTTGTTCCTCAGTTAAGTCACCTGGGGAGACATTGTAGGGCGTGGCATTTTTTTGCGAGACAAAGCAAAACAAAACAACGCAACGAAACAAAAAGAGACACACCACACCGCACCACACCACACCACACCACACCACACCACACCACACCACACCACACCACACCACACAGCAAACACTTCTTATGTCCACTACAAAGGACTGTGTTATATGTAAGTTCAGACACGCGAGGAGACAAGCTTTCAAGAAGATGTTTCGTGCATGTAGCGTAGGCTATAATATGTTCTAGTTCAGTCATGCCTCAAAGGGCCATCATCAACCATCGTTCCGTGCGTTCGTGTTTTTTATATATATTTYCACATATGGAAAAGTGATGTGACTTCAGTTCAAACSGGCCTCCATTGTACGTTTYAATCGATCCGTTGCAAGCAGGAATCTTACACTGATTCCATGTATAAATCATCAAAAGAGGGATAATAAAGAAAAAAAGGTTTTGTTTTTCGAGCGGATTTCGTATGAGTGGGAAACCCAACGTATTGTAACGTGACTGTAACTGTGCCGTAACCAAAATTGGGATGTCCAATTGGTTCTCTAAAATTTTGCTATTTTGGATTGGATCAAATTTTCCCAATGCCGTACGGYAACGGTAACAGTAATGGTGATTCTGTTTCGTGATTGGACGATTTCTCTTGCCGTGCGGTATTACGGTCGGTAACCGTAAGTGCGGTATTACCGTCTGATTTCTGATTGGTGYTTAGAAGCTTTTCTCTTTTCTGATTGGCCAAACTTAGACATCGGTACAGTAGCGGTAACGGTGCAGTAACGGTGTCCCACTCATACGAAATCCGCTCTAGTACGGTGTATTATTATTTCCATAACAAAAACAAAAAATTGTAAGGTAGTACCAGTTGGTGATCCCAGTTTTAGGTTAACATTGAAATACGCAACCAACGTTTCCTATAAAGATAACTAGCTCTCGCTTTTAGATAGATCATTTATGATTTCTGAGATTCGCTGGTCAAGTCAAATATATAAGATTATGATATCTCAATCTCTCTTAGGTACTCCATTGTTCTGGGCGACCATATCCGTAACGTTACTGAAGGTAGCGAGCAGCGAATCAACGCTTCAAAATTCATTTTGCATCCAAACTATAACTTGACCATAATCGACTCTGATATCGCGCTCATTAAACTGGAACGTCCAGCAAGGCTGAACAGATACGTTAGAACGGTATGTTTGCCTCRACAGAACGAGCGCCTGTTTCCTGGTAAAAGCTGCTACATCACTGGTAAGTAACGCGTTCGAGCTATGGATTTTGTCACAGTACTGTGACACAGGATTGCGTTACAGTACTGTGACACAGGATTGCGTTACAGCTCAAAAAATACAGAAAAACTTTACGGCTTGTTTTTGCTCATTTTGTGATGATTATTTCATATTAGGGAAGAGTCTTCCAGTTTTGATGTGTTAGGGCAAGACTTAAATCTCATTTTGATCTAGAATAAAACTTGTGTTACTTCATTGCGTTACAGGCTGGGGTAAGACACGTCACCCAGGGGGTGCCGCCAATATCCTGCAAGAAGCTGAACTTCCCGTCATCAGCCGTTGCAAATGTCAGACAAAGCTCTCGGCTGACAACGTGACTTCCACACATTTTCCAGAACTAAAAATAAGCMAAAACATGATCTGCGCTGGAGAGAAAGACTCCATCAAGAGTGGTTGCCATGGTGACAGCGGTGGTCCGTATGTGTGTCGAGGAAGGCGTGGCCGATGGGTTCTGCAGGGTGTGGTCAGTTGGGGGTCAGAAAGATGCGACGCATTCCATCTTTACAGCGTCTTTGCACGTGTTGCCAAATTCAGAAATTGGATCGATAAGCAAATGAAAAAGTATTGAAAACTCAATAGCAATTTGCAGATTTTAACGATTTTCTTGAGAAATAGTATATTAATCTTTACGCCTTTTTTGACCCATTGAATAAATCATGTCACATGGACCAATCTCTTCCCTTTTCGGCTCCTTTTGTACACTATTTCTCCATAAAAAGCTGTTCTCTTACGAAAATCTTAACATTCTAAAATGTTTAGTGTTAAATGTGGGTGCAATGGGTTTGAAACTTCAATAAAATGAAACGAAAAGCATTACAGATTGCGTGTTCTTTGACCGCATAGACATCCCATAATAAGTTCCAGTGACGCATCGATTACGTAATCACTCCTTAAATTACTTAGCTTTAAGGGGCTGCGACTTTTTGGCGAGTTTGCTTAAATATTTGGTAGACTTTATTAGCAGCTGGGTATATGAACTTTGATAATTGAATTATTGTATTTGCACTCGTTTTTTTTACCGTCTTGTGAATTTGATTAAATCTTAAACCGTAGTGAACTCCAGAAAACTGCGCGGTAACTATAGCTACAGTACAAGGTGGGGAAGCCGTTTGTGAGCTGTTAGCGTCGAAGAGGGTGCACTGAAATTATTTTTACCGATTTTCGTTCTTTYAGTGTTTAAAATATTGTGGTGTGCGCAATGCAGACTATTTTACCCGCTGTCTATGATCGATCGATCGTTATAGCGAGGTTTCTCTGGAGACTAAAATGTCTAAAATATAAAAGCTTTTTAAGAAAACGATTTGACAACCACGATTTGATTGACTTTCTAGAAAAAGTCAACTTCGATTTCCCAATTTAACGTCCCTCGTATTTATACAGTTGTAGGCAATTTATAGTAAATCCGTTCTATTAATAAGTCCAATATGCTATATAACCTGCGCGTAAACCTGTTTGAGTACATCAGAAGCTGCGACAATGAAGTCTTTTCTATTGCTGTCGATTTTGCTCGGTAAGTTTTTATTTTAGGCTATTTTTCTGATAGCAAAGCTTTGTAATCCTTTACAATTTGTTTTTTTTTAGTGTTTTTCCTTTGGGAAACACCATATTCAGCCAAGGCAGGTATGTATTTCAGAGAAAATGATGGGTTCACTAACACCAGTAGTTACATGTAGAAGGAGCCGACGGGTTTCTGGGAGAAATATATCTGTTCTTATGTCCCACCCAGCTGTAAGTCACAACACGTTGCCAGCGAGAAATTCAGGAAAAAAAAACTCTCCAGGCAAGGAATACTTTCTAAGACTTTTTGCCAGGAAAATAAAAATGTCCTAACTAAAAAAAAATATAAGGCGTTTTTGACCATAAAAGCGTTATCTAAGCCTATTTTGACCTTAAAAACGTTTGCCAGGAACAAAATTCTTTTAAAGGGGGAAGGGCGCCACATTTGCTTGTGAAATTGTCAACAATGTAGATCAAAATTCGCACAAGATCAGTTATTTAGAGGAACAGATCCCGTCGGCTCTTCCTGAGTAGTGGACCTAACAGGAGTTCGTAGCATCAGTGACTGATAGCCGCAGTAGTAATATTTGCATGCTTGTTGATGGTAAATTAGAAAGTAATTATGACGAGAATATGGCTATAATAGAGTGGTTTTCCGTCAACCATGAAAGCACAATAAGTCTAATAGTTAAGTAGTAGTTTGTCATAGACCAATACTAATAGTCTAGTCTAGAGTAGACCTGTATCCGATTGATAGGTATAAACATATTCATAACGAAAACAAGTTTTTTAAATGTTAATTTTAATGGTTATCTATTTGTCTATAGTCTATATGTCTAAATGTCTATATTGACTATTACCAGTTGCTACTAACTAGTTGGTCTATTTCTTTTCATGGTTGACGGAAAACCACTCTAGTGTTTACAATATCATATAAGTAAGGTTAAGTCAGTATTATCAATTCATAAAGAATCGCAACTTTTTCATGCGAAACACCTTGCATACTAGCTTAACACTAGCGTAACAACAGGAGGAGCTGACGGGGTCTGTTCTCCTAAATACCTGTTTTAATAACTGATTTTTTTTCCTGGGAAAGGATTTTGAGCTACATTGTTGACAATGACGTCAGTCTTTGCACGCCAATAAAATTATTTTGTTCCTGGCAAATGTATTCAAGGACAAAAGAGGCTTATATAACGTTTTTATGGTCAAAAATGGCTTATACATTTTTTAATAGGTAATCTTTATTTTCATGGCAAAAATTCTTAGAAAGTATTCTTTGCCTGGATAGTTCTTTTTTCCTGAATTTCTCGCTGGCAACCAGTTGTGACTTACAGCAGGTTGGGACATGAGAAAAGATATATTTCTCCCAGGGACCGTCGGCTCCTACGAAAACAATATGAATTTATGATTACTTCTTATAATTGTTTTCCAGSAAGCTGTGGTGTTCCTGCCATATCCCAATCACGTGTRATCGGTGGTCATGATGCAGTCCAAGGTGCCTGGCCGTGGCAAGTTGGTCTTTACGAGGGAAGTTATTTCTGGTGTGGRGGATCYTTGATCTCCCCCGAGTGGGTAGTGACCGCAGCACACTGCATCTTTCCATTTGTAAAGTAAGTTAGATATTAGGKTATAACTCAAGTTTCTTACTAAGAATAGAATACAGTAGAAACCCGCACATAAGAAGCCCAAAATTAAGAACCTGTTAGCCTAAAAGATGGATTTTATGGGTGGGGGAGGGGTCAGGAAATTGTTTTGAAGCTAAGTTTTATTTGCTTTACTCTAGAATTAAGAACCTAATTTAAGGACCTAAGTAGCCTAAAATTGTATTAATTACCATTTATATATATGATATCAAAGAGGCAAGATTTTGCTGTAACTCCGAGTTTCGTGCTACGCACTCATCAGACAGTATTCATTTATTAAATACTGTCTGATGAGTGCGTAGCACGAAACTCGGAGTTACAGCAAAATCTTGCCTCTTTGATATCATATACATAACTAGCTCTACACTTTATGTGTATTGAGCACTCTTTAATGGGATCAGCTACTTCCTCATACGATTATTAATTACCATTTATATAAGAACCTGTGTAGGCTACTTCCCAAAAATGTAGGTTCTTATGTGCGGGTTTTTACTGTATTTAGGGTAAACTAGTGGTCCATAAAAGAGTCTGATTACCGGGACATTGATGGAATATCTCCGATATATACTGCCACTTTCCAAACTATCTCAGATGTATGTGTGACAATAGATAGTTGGGGACAAAGTAAAGGGGAGCTTTAGAACACTGCCCTAAAATTCTCGCGTTTTTAAAACGGTCCATGTTAGTGTAATATCATAATCCGGTACTCTCTTTTAAGTTACGCCATTGTTCTTGGCGACCTCAAACGTAACGTCACTGAAGGTACCGAACAGCGAATCAACGTCTCCAAAATTATCATGCACCCAAACTGGAATTTCAGCATAATCGACTCTGATATCGCACTCATTAAATTGGARCGTCCAGCTATGCTGAACAGATACGTTGGAACGGTGTGTTTACCTCAACAAGACGAACGCCTGCTCCCTGGAACAAGCTGCCACATCACTGGTAAGTAACGCGTTACAGATTTATTGCGTTACAGTTCCGTTACCTAGGATTACGTTACAGCTCAATAAATACAGAAARACTCTACRTTTTCCGCCTTTTTTGCTTATTACTCTATAGGTGGGCGTACGATGACGTTGTTTGTTCACATCCAAAATATAAAATTCAAAAAATTAGCAATCTGAACTCATGTAATTCAAGATTATATTAATGTCAACAAAAACCCGAACATTTTAGGGCAAACCCCTTTTTTTACATTTCGAGATATCGGCATTTCAAAACTACAAAATCTATAGAAAACATTCAGTGGTTGGCAAAATAATGCCAACCACGGTCATTTCTTTAGAAAATCTTGCAAATTCGGCGCTTGATATCTCTTCAAATATTTAACCAATTGCCTTTAAATTTGCAGGAATTGTTAACAGGTATGAGTTCTTTTCATTTATGGGCTTGATTTGCTTGTGTCTTGAAATTCGATTTCTGACTTTTATGCAAATTAGCTAAAACGTAACCATTGGCGGCCACCTATTTCGTATTATGGAAGAGTCTTCCAGTTCTGATGTATTAGGGCAAAACTTGAATCTCATTTTGATTTAGAATGACAAATTTTAACTTAATTGCGTTACAGGCTGGGGGAAGACGCGTCACCCAGGGAAAGGCGCCAATGTCTTGCAAGAAGCTGAACTGCCAGTCATTAGCCCTAGCGAATGTCACAGAAAGTTCTCAGCTGACAATAAGACCATCTCATTTTTCCCAGMTTTAAATATAACCAACAACATGATCTGTGGAGGAGAGATAGGTWCTATTAAAAGCGGCTGCCATGGTGACAGCGGTGGTCCGTACGTGTGTAAAAAATGGAATGGTCAATGGGTTCTGCAGGGTGTGGTCAGTTGGGGGTCATCCAMATGCGACGCATTCCATCTTTACAGCGTCTTTGCACGTGTTGCCAAATTCARAAATTGGATCGATCAGCAAATGAAAAAGTATCGATAGCTCRATAACAATTTACAGATTTTAAGGATTTTTTGGGGGGTAAAAAATGTATTTGTACCTTTCCTTGAATAAATCATATTTCACCTGGAACCTTGATTCATTTTTTTTTCTTGTTTTCCTTCAAACTTTCTTTAACTTATCAAATTAAACATTTTTTACCTTTTAGCCTTCATTGAAGGGTGTATTCTGATTCAGTATTACAAAATTATTCTTCCTACTAAAATGTTTAACTTACGAAAACCGGTTAAAATTTACACATTTACTATCGCCTGAACAAACCATTTTTGAAAGATAATTGTAAGTTTGTTTATTTTTATGTGCCAATTTGCGAACTATCAAAACCTCAAAACGTTCGGCCATCTTTGTTTTTCTTCATATAGTTCTTTTCTGTCATTCAAATCGGACTTAAAGCAACTGTAAACTTTATTAGTAATCACGTAAGCTCACTAAATGAGCAACTTGTTCATGAGCTTGTTGWATATTTGGCGCCGACTATTTATGCAGCTTTGTATATGAACTTCCTTGATTGAATTATACCGAATGAAMGTTTCCGAAATTTTTTCAGCTGTTGCACTCTGTCTGGTGAACKTGATTAACTGCAATGAAATGAGAAAGTCGTTAGCATGCATTTAAGAGGGTCTATATCCAGATTACGATGGCCGTTCGGTTTTCGTTATATAGAGGTGTCCGCAATAACRAGGTTATACTTACAGAAGTAACTAACCCTTTTAAGCTGCTTTTTGATTGCTCCTTTTAGGTTTTGTTTAATCGTTTGGGAGGGCATCTATTGTTTGTCTATTGTTCCAAAACCAATCGCATGATTCGCACCTATCGCTACTCGCAGCCAACTGCTTGTAAAACAGAGATTTTCCCCAGACTCGTACCCAGTCGCTTCTCCGGCTTTTTTAGAGACGCGCAATGCATCAAGGGAAGGGCGAAGGGAAAGCGCGAAGCTTTTTCTCCCGCCTTCCCATCAACCTCTTCGAGCGTAAGTAACGACTGGGTACGAGTCTGGATTTTCCCCCGAAGTCCGAYAATTGACTGTTCGTAATACGGAGGTAACCGCAATGAAGAGGGTCYACTGATTATTTTTCCTTTCATTGTTCATTTAAGTGAGTTGTACCCACATAACAATATCAACTGTAAAGTCCAGAATATCTCATTATSAATTCCTTAAGCAACTTATTATTTATGTATTTATTTTGGCAGTAAACAAATATTCCTGGAAAAAACTGAATTTTTTTCTAGTTGCGAGCAATAAATAATTAGTGAGAGCGAATTGATGTTAAGCATATCTCAACAGAACCGCTTGGGGAAAAAACACGTTTTCGTTGATATTGCTCGCGAACGTATTGCACAACAAAAAATAATTGCAATTTAATTGACTTTTTCCTGTTTAATCGAACTTCCCAATTAAATGTTGGTCGTATTTATACAGTTGTACAATTTAATCAAGTAATTCCGTTTAATTAGTCCAGTCCTTCTATAAAACCTGGTCAGGTAAGTCATCTTGAATACAAGACTCAAGAGAAGTTTCCACGATGAAAAATCTTGTATTGCTCTTCTTTTTGGTTGGTAAGTTTTGTTTTTCCGTCTTTTCTTTTAAGTGAGAAARCCATTGCCATATTCACTTGTTAAGCTGGAAATTATATTTTTGCTGATAAGTTCAAGTGAATTTTCTATTGGATTTCTATTCATCTACATGGTTTTTCGTTCAGTTTTGGTATTCTTGAGGCTTATATGCACACACACAAAAATCAATATGAAATAGAGTTTTTAAAGATTTGCGAATGGAAAAAAAMTTTCGTAGATTTTCCAGCACCTTTTGTTTCTTAGCATAAACATGCAAACTTTTTCATCCAAAATGTTTCGTTGATTTCAACGTGTCTTAACGCACTTATGAAACTTTTTAGCACAAAACAAGTTTCGTTTATTTACAAACCCTTCCAATCGCTAGAGTGATCGCACTTGAAGCATGCAACTGTACAAAATCTAAGTAGTATTCATTTGTACTAAAAGTGGACCTGAAGCAAGACGGTATTGAATGCTCCATTTGTATCAATTCAATTTAATTTGTGTAGCGCATTCACGATTTACTAAATACAACTAAAAACACTATTTAGTTTGTACAGTTGCACGGATTAAGTGCGTTCACTCCAAAACTTTTATTTCTTCAAAAAGATTTTTAATTAAGTTACAGAAAATTTTTCGTTCTTCATTGTTATTGTTTGTTGTAGGGTGTTGTTCTGCGTACTGTCCAACTAAACCAACTGCATCATGGACCACTAGGCCGACTGCATCATGGACCACAAGACCGACGTCAGGTCCACCCCAAAGTACGTTTTTTAATAATTCCTGGTGATATAGCGCTAAACACGACGATTATTTCAAGATATAAGCTTTTGCTTTCTTTTTTTTCAGACAACTCATGTAGTTTGGATTATGACCAGCCATGCCGACGTTTCATTCGCCAGGACAAGAACGATGATTTTGATTGGACGCTACACTCAGGTTCTACCCTAAGCGGTCATACTGGTCCTTCAGGAGACCATACTACGGGATATGGTAAGGCTGGACAAAGTAATGTTTTTTCCAGTTTACTCGACAATTGGGGTATCTCAATTTGGTCACATGTACGACATATATAACAGAGTTATAGAGGGGAACTCAAATAGACTATAATAGTGCGCTCTTCATGTAGGGAGAATTTACCATTCCTGCAGGYCTATTTAGAAGTAAATCTGACTTAACACGAATGATCAATAATGAGTTTCTCTTWAGGTCTAGCCTAGTCAACCTTCGCRGGCTACTTTATCGAAAACGGACTTTTCGTTTTTGTTTTGTTTTGTTTTCTGTGTTGATGATCTTGACCGAGAGGAACTGGTGTCAAGAGATCTCCCCATCTGGGAACATTTTTGAMTCGGCACAGRAGTCCCATATGGAGTTGGCTGTGAATGAGGCTAGGTCTGGCSAGCCAGTTGTGATAAATGGACATAGAGYTTTACTAAATTGTGTTTTTGAAATTCTAGGAAAATATATGTACACCGAAGCGTCTTATCCCAGGAAGGAAGGGGATCGTTCCCGCTTAATCATATATGTGAAAACCAATTATGCGGCTTGTTTTTTCTTCCACTACCAYATGTATGGTGAAAGCATGGGTACCTTGARRATCTATGTCGATTCTAAGTTGGCATGGCAACTGTCTGGTAACCAAGGCAATCAATGGATYAAAGGAACAATTCCAGTGAGATATCGTGGTCATCATGTGGTACGTTTCCATGGTTTCATCACAAGAAAAAATAAATGTCTACCATTTCATTATGCAACCAATTAATTCTGTACTATATTATTATTTCAGATCTACATTGATGGTATAAGAGGGTCATCTTTCGAATCTGATATGGCGATAGATGACTTGGGATATCAGGAGTTTCGTTATATGTGGAAATCAGAGTGTATGGTCACACCAAGCTGTGCAGACCCACACCACAGACCAACAACACCAACAACTTACCCTACCTGGAGACCAGGAACAACTTACCCTACCTGGAGACCAGGAACAACTTACCCTACCTGGAGACCAGGAACAACTTACCCTACCTGGAGTCCAACTCGTTGGACCCCGAACCCCCCTCATGGTATGGGGTAGCTATTCTTTATCTTTAAACCATCGCGTACAATTCTATGATTTACTTAAGAAAAGATATTAAACTTTATCTTATAAATTTGAACTGTTTTCCAGTTGTTTGTGGCAGACCTTCCGTCTCTTCCTCACGTGTGATAGGTGGTCAAAATGCAGCTCCAGGAGCCTGGCCATGGCAAGTTGGTCTTTATGCCTGGGGCAAGTACTTCATGTGTGGAGGAACTTTGATTGCACCCCAATTTGTGGTCACTGCAGCCCACTGCATCTTCAGTGGTGCAAGGTTAGTATAATATATCAAATATTAGGAAAAGGAATACTATTATTTCAATGWATTTTATTGYCGCGGCAAAACAGCCAAAGAAAAATGAGGTCAAGGTTGTTATAAGGATTTCTCTTTTGCTCAAAATAATACACGATCATTATCGATCGAGTTCAGAAACAGAAGGACGATAAATAGAGTGTAAAAGACTGATAAAAAGTAAAATAAATAAAAAAGATAGAGCGTAGTTATCTCAACTTGTCTTGAAATACAAAATAATTGCAGAATGACCGGATGAGCACACGCGTCAGTTCTGTATTTWAAATTTTCTGTATTTAAGTTGACGTCATACTTGTCTTCCCGCGTGAATTTTCCCTTTTTTCAAAAGTATCTCGTAGGTCATTAGTCTTACGTCGAAAAGAAAWTWTGGGTRAACGATAKCTATGTTGTAAAAGGATCCATTCGACTAGTTCTCAATATCTTCATAGGTACGAGGTTGTTCTTGGTGATACCAATCGTAACAAGAATGAGACTTCCGAGCAGAAAATTCCCGCCTATAAAGTTATCGTACACCCAGACTGGAATAGGAACACGATCGACTCGGATATTGCAGTGATTAAACTAGCCCGCCCAGCAATGATAAACAAGTTCGTACAACCAGCCTGTTTGCCTCACTATAACGATTATCTATGGCCTGGCAAAAGGTGCTATATCACTGGTAAGTCACGCGTTACAGTTTGTTACGTAGGATCGCGTTACACTTTTGTGACATAGGATTGTGTTACGGTTTTGAAGCTAACGTAACGCTCTCACTGATACAAGTGGGCATAGGTGATAAGGCAATTATTCAAGCAATCAAGACATCTCGCAATAATTGGCTCCCCAATGTATACTTTTTTCAGTACAGGAAAATCAGTTATAACTAATAATTATAATAGAGTGAACCCTTTTAATCAGAGAAACTAAAATAGAACAAAAAACATGGTAAATTATGTTCTATTGGTGAAAACATTATAAAAACATCTCGTTTGTTAGTTTGGTTTTGGTGCTCAGCTTGRCATGTGTCCTAATGTGAGCCACGGCTACGAGTCACTGCACTTCGCTCCATCATTGCGTTACTTCATTGTGTTATTTAATTGCGTTACAGGATGGGGGAAGATTAAACACCCTGGCGGTGCCCACAACATGCTACAGCAGGCAGTCCTTCCAGTGGTAGGCAAGTACGAGTGCGAAGCAAAGCTSTCAGSYAACAGTAGCTCAAGCAACTCCAGTTCTCCRGGACTTAGCATAACAGATAATATGATTTGTGGAGGAGAGAGGGGTTCCATCAAGAGCGGCTGCCATGGTGACAGCGGTGGTCCGTACGTGTGTAAAAACTGGAATGGTCAATGGGTTCTGCAGGGCGTGGTCAGCTGGGGCTCACCGAGGTGTGACGCGCACCATCGCTACACCGTCTTTGCACGTGTTGCCAAATTCCGAAATTGGATCGATCATCAATTGCAATACCAATAATRGYCTGCAGATTTTAAGGATTTTTTTTGAGCAAAACATTTTTATTCCTTTTCTTGCTCCTTTGAAATAATCACATTTTGAAAACTTACATCTCTTCCCCTTTTTTGTTCCTTTTTATCAATTCTTTCATTTCTTTTKTWAAAATTATCCATTAAMAATTAATTTYCCATTTTTTTTCCATTTCTGTCTATTGTGAACAAWGTCATCATATCACATTTACAACACAATTTTTCTCCCAAAGAAACTGATTTCTTACTAAAATCCTAAAATTCCTGTGCCATTSAAAACTATAGTGTTAGATGGTTTAGTGGGTTAGGAAGTCAATWAAAACGAAGCATTACACATTGTTGAATCATGTCTTTGGTTAATGTCAGCTGGATGGGTTTCCTGTGGAATATAATACTGCACAACTATCATTTCTCCAAACATTTAAAAGGACCGCGTAGGTTCGGCTGTTGAGCGACATTCTAGGGCGCGTGACCTCCGAGTAGTGTCACACCCAACTAGATATATTTTTTGAAGTCCTCTCGTTATGTGCTGTAATTTGATGCATCGCAAAACTTTATTTGAAACTTAACAGACAAGAAAAAAAGTTAAAGTTTACTTCGAGCTATCTTGTATCAGCAACAAGGCTCAAGAGACTTTTTCTACTTTTTATTTTTTAATTATTTTACAACAAACAAACAAACAAGCAGAAAACACACACACGAAAAACAAATAACATTAGACGTCACATTTACAGTTATTTACATTTAATGATAAGAACACTAAGTATGCTTCTCTAGATTTACTATTACTTTTTTGTATATTTTTTTGTGGCAACAAACGGTACTTCATTGTTGCACAGGTGGCATCATTTAAGAGAAAAAAATCTTTTAAAGAGAAAATGAATATTTAATTTTCACCTACTACACTAAAGTGGGCCGAGCGAGAAGCCATGTGGCTCTTGTTAGTGTTAAAAGTTTGTTATAAACAAAATCGGGCCTCTATTGAATTAGAAGGCAGCAGAACAAAGAGTCTAGTACGACTCGAGTTTGACTTTAACCAAATCAATGACACTGTACACAAAAATCTTTGTTTTCGGCTCAGTCCACAGAAGAATATTATGAACATAAGTCAAGGCACGTTAGCTGGTTTTTGAGCCAGCAAATGTCCTTTTATGGCCATCTTTTAAAACCTTGAGAAATTCGTTTGCATACACAGTTGGCTTTTCAATGTCAGGAAAATACTTGATTTATTTTGTTGTTGTGGCGAAGTTACAATTTGATTCGCCTATAACTAGAGAGTCCGCCATTTTGATTATAATGGTGGAATCTTTCTGAGCTGGTTTCCATGGCGACGAGAAATCCTTTTAAAGTTAAAARTTTTATTGGTCGAGCCGTTTGKTTACATCATGGCGTATAGAGGAATCTAAAAMTCGATAGCTTTTCGGATTGGCGTAAGTCATCTTGAATACAAGAGAAGCTTCGACGATGAAGGATCTTCTATTGATCTCGTTTTTGGTTGGTAAGTTTTGTTTTTCTGTCTTTTCTTTTTASTGAAACGTTTAATGCCATATTCCGCACTTGTTAAGCTGGAAATGACTATACTTTTGTATTTTTGCTTTAACTTAATACTTCCACTTTATCTTATATATTTGAATTGTTTTCCAGTTGTTTGTGGCAGMCCTKCCGTCSCTTCCTTACGTGTGATAGGTGGTCARAATGCAACTCAAGGAGCCTGGCCRTGGCAAGTTGGTCTTTATACGTCGGACAATACTTTCGTCTGTGGAGGATCTTTGATCGCTCCCCAATTTGTAGTTACTGCAGCCCACTGCATCTTCAATAATGCAAGGTTAGTATAATATTCCGATTTATTAGGTAGAGAACTATGACCCATCCCCAATACTATTTTAATGAATTTTATGGCCACAAAACAGCCAAAGAAAAACGAAGATAAGGATTTCTCTTGCTCAAAATAAGATACTATCTTTTTCTATTTGAACTTCAGAAACAGGATAGAACGTAAAAGATAAAAAGTAAAATAAATAAAAAAGATAGAGCGTAGTTATCTCAACTTGTCTCCCGGATGAGCACACGCGTCAGTTCTGTATTTTGGCGCCATTTCCAAGTTGACGTCATACTTGTCTTCCCGCGTGAATTTTCCCTTTTTTCAAAAGTATCTCGTAGGTCATTAGTCTTACGTCGAAACGGGTAAACGATAGCTATGTTGTAAAATGATCCATTCGACTAGTTCTCAATATCTTCATAGGTACGAGGTTGTTCTTGGTGATACCAATCGTAACGTCAATGAAAATATTGTGCAGAGAATTCCCGCTTATAAAGTAATCGTACATCCAAAGTGGAATAAGAACAACTTCGACTCGGATATTGCAGTGATTAAACTAGCCCGCCCAGCAATGATAAACACTTACGTGCAACCAGTTTGTTTGCCTTCCTATAACGAGTATGTACGCCCTGGCACAAGGTGTTCTATCATTGGTAAGTCACGCGTTACAGTTTGTGACATAGGATTGTGTTACGGTTTTGAAGGTAACGCAACGATCTCAAGGATATAAGTGGGCATAGTGACGCTTTTAAAGTGATAGCAAATCAAAGCAATCAAGCAATCGAAATCTGAAGAATTGGCTCCCTAATGTTAATTGTCTTCAGAGCAGGAAAAGCATTTGTTACAAACATTTTTTTATGCAAATAATTCTAATAGAGTGAACGAGTAAAATCCATGAAACAAAAATAAAACAAAATGGGTGCTAAATAATGGTCTATTGGGCTCCTTTTTGGAGGAAAACATTTTTAAAAACATCTTTATTATCAGCTTGGATATGGTGCTCAGCTTGACATGTGTTTCTTTGCAATCACTGCACTCCGTTCCATCATTGCGTTACTTCATTGCGTTACTTCATTGCGTTACTTCATTGCGTTACTTCATTGCGTTGAAGATTAAGCAGCCTGGCAATGCCACCAACATGCTGCAACAGGCAGTCCTTCCAGTGGTCGGTGAGGACGAGTGCAAAGCAAAGCTCTCAGCTAACAGTAGCTCAAGCAACTCTAATTCTCCAGGGCTGAGCATAACGGATAATATGATTTGTGGAGGAGAGAAGGACTCCATCAAGAGCGGCTGCCATGGTGACAGCGGTGGTCCATACGTGTGTCGAGGATTGAATAACCAATGGTTTCTGCAGGGTGTGGTTAGCTGGGGCTCACCGAGGTGTGACGCGCACCATCGCTACACCGTCTTTGCACGTGTTGCTAAATTCCGAAATTGGATCGATCAACAACGGAACATTTCGATCTTAGCTGTGCCCCGTGATCAGATAAGGGTCGGTTGGTTGGCTGCTTTGTGTGTGTGTTGTAACTATGTGATTGTCCTCATAATGAAATAGCGCACTCGTATACTGCATGACCGACTCAATCACGTGAGCCGCATCCTTCTTAATTCAGCACTCGCCGGGGTGCGAGGATGGCTTTCTTGTGGAATATAATACTGCACAACCTTTCGGGATCATTTAACCAAACACTTGGGCCACGTATGTTCGGCTGTGGGTGACATTCTAGGTCGCGTGACCACCGAGTGGTGCCACACCCACCCATGAAATCCTCTCGTTCTTTAATTTGATGCATCACAAAACTTATTTCTTTGAAAAAAGAAGCAACAACAACAACAACAACAACAAAACAACTTAAAAGCCTACTTCGAGCTATTTTGTATCAGCAACAAGCCTCAACAATGGCCGAATGGTGTGTTATGCTTTTGTCAATCCGTTTCAGAGCACGGAAACTTTACAGACAAACAATTGTTTTCCGATCAAGGTTATGTTAACAAGTTGATCAGATTCTCTTCGTATTTGGCTCCTTCCTTCTCAACGAATTAGCGAGTTCTTATTGGTTTTCTGTCAATCAACTAATGGCAATTAAACTTCAAAAATATTATTAAATGGCAACGTTTTGACGAGCTTGTTTATTATTTGGAGACCACGATTTTGTCAGCTGTGTATATGAACATTGTTGATAAAATATTTTGCTTATAAATACTCTGTAATGAACGATTTCTTTTTCCAATATCGAATGGAAGTTTCCGAAAGTTTTTCAGCTGGTCGGGTCACCTTTATAAAACTGCAAAGCAGTCGCTCAGTCAAGACGTCAAAAGTCAAGCCCTAACATACTTGAGGAAATCAAGATGAAATTAGTGGAAGAATCGTCAGCAATAAAATAGGGTCTGTTGAGATTCGTGTTTTCCCCGATGGCCGTTAATTTATTGTTCGTAATATAGAGTTTTTTCGCTCTAACTAGGGTCCATATATAATCAGATTTTTCCTTCCGATACCCACACATTTTGAAGTTTAACTATGTAAGGTCCAGAAGGTCATTGTGAGTTCCGAGAGCAACTCATGATTGTTCACATATTTGTTTTTGTTATAAAGAATTCTACTTGGAATCATTAATGGTGAGAGGGATTTGCTAACTCAACAGAACTGTCTTGGAAAAAACCTTTTTCATTGTTAGTAATTGCAACTTGATTGCCTTTGTTCTTCTAATCAATCGAACTTCACAATTAGATGTTCGTCGTATTTATACAGCTGTACAATTTATTAAGTAATWAAAAGTAATTGAAAAGTAAAATGTATTAATCAGTCGAGTCCTTCTATAAAACCTTGTCACGTAAGTCATCTTGAATAGAAGAGAAGYTTCGACGATGAASGATCTTCTATTGCTCTTCTTTTTGGTTGGTAAGTTTGGCTTTTCGTTTGTCTATTCTTTTTAGTGAGAAGTTTATTGGCTATTTTCGCTGATAGTTTTAAGTTAAAACTGAATTACGTTTATTTTTATTGAATTTCTATTACTTTACATTTCTCGTTCAGTTTTTTGTGTTCTTGAAGTTGATGTGGCCACAAGAATATGAAAAAGAGTTGTTTTGATTTGCGAGAGTGCAAACCAACTTTCCGCAGATTCCCCCCCCCCCCACTTTTTGTTGCTTAAAGATAGATATCAAATCGTTTTACCTAGATTTTTAAAAACAGAAATTAATCTTACATTTTCGTTGTTTTCAATGTTGTTGTTTAGGGTGCTGTTCGGCGTACTGTCCGACTAAACCGACTCCATCTTGGACCACAAGGCCAACTCCATCATGGACCGCAAGGCCAACGTTAGGTCCACCCCAAAGTAAGCAATGGTTTCCAAACCATTTCTGGTGGTGGGGCGATAGACACGTTTTTCGTTGTATGACCTCTTATTGACACACTCTTGATGTCGTAAAATKTTCAAAACTCAAGTGGGTTCACCGCAAAGTTTTGAACATTTTATGTCGTCAAGAGTGTGTCAATAAGAGGACATTCAACGAAAAACCGTGCGCAATTTGTTTTTTAYCCAATTTTTAGTCTAAAAATTAGCGAAAATAATTCTTTCCTTCAATAGAGCGCGCGTGCGAGACGTGATGGTGCCAGCACAGTGTGCATGTCCTCTTATTGACACACTCTAATCAGCCAATCAGCGCGCGAGAATTTACACAAGTGTGGTAATTTTATTATTGTTTTTTAATAAAAAACGTTTTTCTTTATTTATTGCAGACAAATCTTGTAGTTTGGATTCTGACCATCCATGCCGACGTCAACAAGACAAGAAAGATGATTTTGATTGGACGCTACATTCAGGTTCTACACCAAGCCATGAAACTGGTCCTTCAGGAGATCATACCAATGGATATGGTAAGACTTGAAGAAGTAATGGTGTTCTAGATCAATATACTGTGTAATTTTATTGGACAACTCAAATATTTTTTCAAAAGCCTCAAAGAGTCTTGAATAATTCGTTCGAAACACTAAACCTAACCTCTAGTTTCGATTTTTAAGCTGGATTCTTTATAGTTTATTGGACGCTACTCAAGATTTTTTTTTGAAGACGTTTTTCATTTAGACTTGATATAGTCTTATCCACGGTTCCCAGCGCCATCTCGAAAGGTAGCCATGCCTTTACACCGAAGCGAGACGACCGTTGAGTGTGCAATGATAGAACCTTCTTTACACCTACAGACAATTATTTACAGGTATCTATCATTGCATGCTCAACGGCTGTCTCGCTTCGATGTAAAGGCACGGCTACATTCAAGATGGCGCAGGGAACCGTGAAGGAGGCTATTCGCCAGTAAAACTGGTCTATTTTAGCAGTGATACTGATGGAGAATATTATTTTTAATTKAGAATTTATTATTAATGGATAATATAATTATTATTAACTAACTTGTATTTTTGAAATTYTAGGAAAATATATGTATACAGAAGCGTCTTATCCCAGGAAGACCGGAGATCGTGCCCGTTTAATCTTATATGYGAAAACCAACTAYCCCGCCTGTTTTTACTTCCACTATCATATGTATGGTGAAAGCATGGGCACCTTGAAGATCTATGTCGATTATCATTTGGCATGGCAACTGTCTGGTAACCAAGGCAATCAATGGATTAAAGGAACAATTCCAGTGGGATGGCGTGGCAATCATGTGGTACGTTTCCATGGTTTCATCAGAAGAAAAATAAACTAATTTCATTAAGCAACAGTCAAACAGTTGAAACAAACTAATTCTGTTGTATATTTTTATTTCAGATTCATGTTGATGGCATAAGAGGGTCATCTTTTACATCTGATATGGCGATAGATGACTTTGGATATCAGGAGTTTATGGGGAACTCAGGGTGTATGGTCACACCAAGCTGTGCAGACCCACACCACAGACCAACAGCACCAACAACTTACCCTACCTGGAGACCAGGAACAACCTACCCTACCTGGAGACAAACAACATACCGTAAATGGAGACCAACAACTTATACAGCAAATCCCCCAAATGGTATGGTCTCCAGTACGAGTAGTAGTCGTAGTCATAGTCGTAGTAGCATCACCAGTAGCAGTAGCACCATCATAATGATGTGTACAATTCCATTATTAACTTATCGCTAATATTTTATCTCATGAATTTGTGCTACTTTGCAGTTGTTTGTGGCAGACCTTCCATCCCTACCTCACGTGTGATAGGTGGTCATGATGCAGCTCCAGGAGCCTGGCCATGGCAAGTTGGTCTCTATACGTCGAACAATACTTTCTTTTGTGGAGGATCTTTGATATCTCGCGAGTTTGTGGTTACCGCAGCCCACTGCATCTCTCCAAATGAACGGTAAAGTATGATCACAGGCAGTCCAACCCTTGAATGTTTTTTTKTGTGTGAAATTATTTTCAGTTACTTAAGTTTTTACACAGCTTTAAGGTGATTTAAATATTTATCTTTAATGGGACTATTATATTTATCTTTACAGAGTGTTTGTTGTTCTTGGTGATACCAAACGTGACGTCCATGAGGGATGGGAGCAGCGAATCTACGCTTATAAAACCATTGTGCATCCAGACTGGGATCCCAGCACTGGGGACTCGGATATTGCAGTGCTTAAAATAAGCCAAGCAAMATTAAACGCTTTCGTGCAACCAGTTTGTTTGCCTTCCTATAACGAGTATGTACAGCCTGGTACAAGGTGCTCTATCACTGGTAAGTCTCGTTTTATTTTTTCTTGAAACAGGATTGCGTGAAGGTCTATAGACTTTCGTTACAGCTTTCACGTAAGCGCAATGCACGAATACAAGTGTATTGTTACTGGAATTGTTGGACAGGATATTTCTTTTTGTTATCGATAACAATTATGTAATTGAATTTACTTTTACTTCATTGCGTTAATGCATTGTGTTACTTTTATTGCGTTACTTTATTGTGTTACTTCGTTGCGTTACTTTGTTCCGTTACTTTATTGTGTTACTTCAGTGCATTATTTCATTGCGCTACTTCATTGCGTTACCTCATTGCGTTACTTTATTGCGTTACCTCATTGCGTTACTTTATTGCGTTACTTCATTGTGATATTGCATTACAGGATGGGGAATGATGAAGTTTCCTGCCAATGCCAGCAACATACTGCAGCAGGCTGTCCTTCCAGTGGTCGGGAGTCAAGAGTGCAAAAGAAAGCTCTCAAATAACAGTAACTCAAGCAATTCTAGTTCTCCAGGCCTGATCACTATAACGGATACCATGATTTGTGGRGGAGAGGACGGCTCYATCAAGAGCGGTTGTTACGGTGACAGCGGTGGTCCGTACGTGTGTCAAATGAATGGTCARTGGGTTCTGCAGGGTGCCGTCAGCTGGGGATCAGCTACGTGTGATGCAAGACAACGCTACACTGTCTTTGCGCGTGTGTCGAAGTTTAGATATTGGATCGATCAACAACTGAGATACCAATAATGGTATTTATTAAGGATTTTTTTGGGAGAAAAAAGGTCCTTTTTTGCTCCTTTGAAGAAATCACAGTTTGATGACTTATCTCTCCTCGCTTTTTTGTTTCATCTAAATTCTTTTTTTCTCTTTTTACCTTCTCTATCCCTTCATTGACTTTTGAGTGGTATCATCATATRCTACTCCATTTACTAAACTCCTTTTTTTTCCCAACGAAACTGCTTTCTTACTAAAATCCAAAAAATCCTGTGCCATTCAAAAAGTGTTAGAGGGTTTAGTGGGTTAGATTATCCAATAAAACGAWGCATTACAATTTTTGCATCATGGCCTCTGTGAACTTAAGATGAACTTATAGTATTCTAGTGCTTCTGCTACCCCCTTAAAAACCTTGAAAATTCTTGACTCGTTTTTAAGAGCACTTGAAAATCTCTTGAAAATCCATTTAAGCGGCTAGGAACGCCTGGCTAAGCATGTTTGGGAATACAATAAGACATTGTGGGGGGCATTTTAACACTTCATCCGTTTCCAACCTTACAAAGACATTGTGATCTCTTCCCACAAGGAATCTTCCGGAATAATTCTAATTGACAACAAGGCCAAAGCTCAGTAATTGTTGTTGTTTGCGAATCTGTAAATGGCGGCTGACATGAAAATATTGGAAGTGTTCGTATTCGACTGATAATTGCAGTAGTTCCCGACCAGGGGTGGGATGCACTAAAATGTATTCTTCGTTTTCAGGTTACGTCACAGCGGCCATATTGGAGGAACAACAAAGGATTTTTTATTATTATCTATTGTTCATTCCTCCAACATGGCCGGCGGTCTTTTATCTTTTAAATCTCATGGGAATGGGCGAAAACGATCAATTAACACAAATCAAACCTTCCATTTTAGTCATTAATATTTTTTAATGAAAATTTTGAAAAGTTCACATAGTTTTAGGACTTTCAGAGTTATCTCATTGGGATAGTAGTGGGCTCGTTATGACTGTCGCCCCTAGCCTCCATCCGTCATACAATGATGGTATGTTGCAAGTGGCTTCTTTTTTAAACAAATCATTAAAATTCATAGCGTCACTCGGTAGACTTGACAGAAGCAGGGCGAAAATATTATTTCGAGTGAATTTTTAAAAGTAATGCATAATACTTGGATGTGGAGAACAGGTATTCAGGACACTAAGGTATGTACCGTTTGTCTATTGATCTAAGAGTCTTAAGACATATGTAGGGCGCTATGGAACGACGGTTTGTACCGTCAAGATCGTTTGCAGTGAATTGTGTGAGCTCGTTTGAAGACTGAACGTGAAGACACGTAGAAAGACAGAAATAGCGCAACAACTCGAACCAAGGTTATGTAAAACAATACAAAAAACGCTTTATTCGAAGAATTTTAGGTGTAGAATTAGATATCTGTATCAATTTCGCTCAACTTTATACATTTCTTTAGAATCGTCCATTAGCAAAGGTATCCTACATGTCCACAAGTGGTTAGGACCAACCTCCCACTKGAACGAGGTTGGGTTATAGGACCTTTGCGCGATTTTCTCACATTCGAAAAGTCGCCATCTTTGATTTTGAACCAATCAGAAAGCAACTTTCAAYAAACAACAGATCTTCTTTGAACACAAAACAAACAGTTCAAGTTGAGGGATGTTGACTAACGATCACTAAGAACTAAGAACTATTAATGACTAGCCTTAAGAAATGTTGTTGACTAACGATCACTAAGAACTAAGAACTATTAATGACTAGCCTTAAGAAAGTGCAATAAGAAAAATCGCCATCTTAATTTAATGGACGTATAGTAAACGCACTTGAACCATGAAGCAAAATCACAAAGATGTATCGTTACTTTGAAAAGAAAAGTARAATAATTGCTTGTTTTCAAACATTACCCATGAGATTCAAGATACCGGCGGCCATGTTGTTTGAAGAAGCATAGATCCTAATGAGAAATCTTTTGTTAAATTTATGCAAAATGGCCGATGTGGCGTATATTGCAAATGAATAGAAAACATCTTACGCAATTTGCAAACTTTAAATCTATTTTATTTTGACTTTTACGCGATTCGGCATTCTACTAATATTTTTTGACAATTGTGTTTCGTTCGAATTGTTTTCTGAATGGCATCCGCTAAAACTTGTTGTTTACTTAAAATCGGCTTTTAACTACTTTTTCTAGAGGCTTCTAGTCACAAAACCTGAGAAAAAAGTGAAAGTGTTGTCCKTTTGTTTTTCTTTTTCTCTTTTGTTCTGATTACATTTCGGTGTTCGGGATTTTTGTCGACAATAGCGATATTCATTGTGAAGTAAGACTTTGTTATTCGTGTGCCAACCAGCATACGATTGGCTGTTAGAACAAAGCGACTTGTGAAAAGCATTTTGATCATGGTTGGCACATTAACATATGAGTTTGTTGATAAGTTGAAAAACATTGAGTATCGCTACTTTGTCGACTTTCCATACGCTGGTTCAGTGACCACGAACAAAGCATTGAACCGAGGCGTCAAGGAACACTGATCACAGATCTTTTCTTTTACGTTCACTGTTCCTTGACGCCTCGGTTCAATGCTTTGTTCGTGGTCACTGAACCTGAGTATGGAAAGACGTGAATAGACGTCTGAAGCTTTTACGCTTGCTGCGTATACGCAATGCATTGTACAATATATTTAGGACAGAACATGGCGGATTTCTTTTGTGTTCATTAGAAACTCATCCCACAATGCACTGAAAATCAAGTTGTGACCTAAAAGTCTATTTATAAGTCGTTAATTAACATCGTGCTTTCCATTACAAAGACATTGATTAGTTGACACAAACATACTTATGGCTGTGTCCGCAGTCACTGCTACCCCATATGCCGGTGTGTTCCATGTATCCGCAGTGTCCATTTGCTGGTTCCTTGCCTGTACCCCAGTTCGTGTAGTCGGCTGCTGTGCCATCGCTCCAGGTTAATTTATCCGACCAGTCTTTCTTAATTCCAAGCCAAATCCACGAATTAGCTTTCGAGTAAAGCTCCTTGACCTTCACGTTGTCTGCAGCGCTGTGTATGGACGGAAGATTTCCGCCTTTCGATTTACATGAACTAATCGCACCAGACCAACCAATGCCATTAGTACTAACAAAGAGGAAATCTACGAGCAAAATAATTCGCGGTGATAGGCAATGTGCAGCGACACTATTTTGTAATAGAACATGATTGTACATTGCATTATAGTCGAATCACTTTAAAATCCGAAACAGCAAAACTATACTTCTTTCTGCAGACTGAGAAAAAGCAAAAAACTGCTGATAAAGTCTGATTCAACAGTAGTGTTGGTAATTCTCGCCTTACTCCTACCAGTGTCATGGCTTAAGTGTACAAAATGGCGTCGCTGCACATTTAAAGAAAATACTACTAGTGCTGCTTATATAGTGACTAACATGCATGAAGAAACTATTTTTTATATTTTCAATTTTTTATTCATAAACCTACAARACGACTTTTAGCAACGATCTTTCGCCATACTGTTTTAAAATTCTTGATGCTTGCTACACAAGGCAATTTTACACTCAAAACTAAAAATAATCCTTTTTCATAGTTATACTTACTGTATGACGAACCGCCTGCAGCTGTCGTTGTACTTTCTGAAAGTTCAAAATTAAAAAAAATCAAGTTTAATTTTGTTTATACAATTGACTTTTTCGTGATGAAATTGTTTATTATGGTGCTTTTTTATCGATGAAAAGATAAATATAATCCATGAAATTTGTCAGTAGCAAATATGTAAATGAAACAAAGGGAACAATACGAGAGTTCGGTGTRAATTTTTTCTATATACTCTATTTGCATTCAGTCACTTCATGACATTGAATCCTCCACTTCCCTATTGGATTCCATGAAATTTTCCAAGAATTCTGGATTCCACCATATTGAATTCAGAATGCAAAGTATCATAGCTTAATYTTTTGTCGTTATGGACGCGTTTACAATAAGGCAAATAAGGAAACATTTGAAATCACTAATTCAATTGGATTGTCCGCCTATGGAGGATGCTTTTGGTCTCTGGTCCATTTGTCAGTGGTARAAATTAGCTAGTTGGACGACTAAGACTCTAGTCTATCAAATTAAGTATTAAATTTTGTATAGTTGATGTTCGGGGAAGTGTTACTTTACCAGTTTTTGTCAATGCTGTTGTGGTTTCGGAAGATAAAATAAGGTTTAGAAAGCGTTAAAGCAGCTTGGACAGAATTTGTTTTAACTCACTCATTGCTGACAGCACAAAACATCTCCTCTATGGACGCCGTAATTAACTGACTTGTTTTATAAATGAATCGATGACTGAAGTATAAACCAGGCTTTGCTGCCTGACTCTCTGATGGATTCACTGACTCGCGCACTGAATGACTGGCTCACTGACAGAATAATACACTCACTCACTAACCCACTCACCGACGACTAAACATGCGCTTTGACTAGATAGAAGAATGCACCTACCAGTTGTTGGCGATGTTGCTGCATCGGTGGCTGAAAAAAAAGCGTTAGAGTATCGTTGATAGRAAYATTACTAGGCAATGTTGAAGACAGCAGCTGGAMACAATGACTGACTGATTGACTGACTTTAACTAGATTGCACCTACCTGTTGTAGTCGATGTTGTTGCATCGGTAGCTGGAAAGAAAAAAATTAAAAGCATTAGTTAAGTTTTGCATGATTGATAGAAATATTACTTGATTGACTGAGTTTCACTAGATTGAAGAAGGTGACCTACCAGTTGTTGTTGACGATGTTGTTGCATCGGTGGCTGGAAAAAAAAAATAAATAAAAAGCTTTGGTAAAGTTTTGCATGATCATAGAAGTATTGCTTGATTAACTGACTGACTGGCTTTAACCAGATGAAAGAAGGTGACCTACCAGTTGTTGTTGACGATGTTGTTGCATCGGTGGCTGGAAAAAAATTAGTTAAGTTTTGCATGATTGATAGAAGTATAACTTGATTGGCTGAGTTTGACGACTAGATTGAAGGTGACCTACCAGTTGTTGTTGACGATGTTGTTGTTGCATCGGTAGCTGAAAAATGAATTAAAAAGCAGCCATTAGTAAAGTCTTGCATGATCATAGAAATATTGCCTTGACTGACTGACTGACTTTAATTAGTTTAAAGAAGGTGACCTACCGGTTGTTGTTGTTGACGATGTTGTTGCATCGGTAGCTGAAAAATGAATTAAAAAGCATTAGTAAAGTCTTGCATGATCATATAAATATTAACTGACTGGCTGGCTTTAATTAGTTTAAAGAAGGTGACCTACCAGTTGTTGTTGGCGATGTTGTTGCATCAATCGCTACTAAAAAATGGTTTAGAAAGCGTCAGTAAAGTATCGTAATTGAGTGACGTTGACTGAGTGAGTGAGTGAGTGATTGACAGCAAGGTCGGATCCTTCTCTTTTGTAACAGCATTCCGGATCCCCACTGGCGAGTGAGTGAAGGACTGAACGAGACAGTAACTATTGAGTGACTGATCGCTAGCAGACTTAATTGAATAAATAAAAATCACTTGTGTGTGTACTTACTTGGCATATCACATTCTGCTCCAGTATAGCCTGGTTTACACTCGCAGCGATGAGTCGCATCCAACCAATTCACCCTGCACACTTTGAACGCTTGACATTTGCAGTTGTTCTGAGATATGCAATTATAAAGTCATTAAATCTACACGGAGTGGTACAGGAGTAATTTTTATTTAAGCTTTCAGTCTCGAACAAACGCCTTTTTAATAACGACTGGCGAGCAATCATTGAGTAAAAGTAGAATGAAACTCAACAAAAAAGAGACCTTTTTTACCATTTCTGTAGTACTTAAGATCGCTATTTTTAAGGTAGTTTTATATCTACAGTTTTTGCTTATGAAAGTCCAAAATTATATTTTAAACATATATTCGTCTTTTGCATGTTTCAGATATAGTTTGCCTTCTTCTACAACTTCGCCATTCAGTTTGTGAGTACCTTGAAGTCTTTTTTTTATAAAAATATAATTCATTTTGCTGTGATAGACGAGCACACAATCAGTGACAATGTTATGATGTCATTGGTGTGTTCGTTGTGACGTCATTTTATACAAATGATGTCATACTTCGAAGCCATTGTRTGATGGCATGTTATCGTCAAAATATGATATTGGCATGATGATATGACGTCATTTTAAAGTTATYGTTATGATATGTTACAATGGTGTCATAATATGAAAGTGACGTTATGGTTTATGCTATGACGTCATCTTATGTGATATGTCATAGTAACTCCATGTTATGGTATATGACGTCATTTTATACCAATGATGTCATTGAATGATAATTAGTTATTCATTTAATCATCACGATCTGATAGTGATATGATTATGCTATGACGTCATTGTATAAKAGTGATGTCACGTGCTTCAAACGATTTTCATTGGWGGAGAAAATGGCACAAAACGAAGCTAAAACTAACCTCTGCGCGTCTGTACACCGTCTTTTCTCGATCAACCAGGTCATTTTTATGCATCACGTGATCTGAATCGCTTAATTCACACCACATAGCTGTACCAGGTTTGTTAGCGCCTTGGCCAWAGTTGTACGATATACATCGATCATCACTAAAACATTTGCTTTCGCAGTGTCCATCGCTCGAGGCCCACTCGGCCTTAAATACGTGGTCTTTCAAGGCTTTGCCGTCAAATGTGTCTCTGAAGTCCTGCGTTTTACATCGATGACCTAATACTAAAAAAATAGCATAAAAAATATAGTGGCTCAAAGTCAGTGTGAAACAATAAATTATGAATAAGATGGATTTAGTTTTTCATAATTAGGAGGGCCTCATTTAGCATCGAACCCTAGCATTATCTATAATTTGGAAAGCTTAGCAAAATCATACAAGTTTTACTTTGTCATTTCCAATCGCCATTTCATTTATTGAAACGTTTATACAATCCTTTTCTATGATTTTATTTTTATGCTGATATTTCGCTTTCAGGTAAACTTCAGAAWTGACTGAAATYYTAAGTCATTATGACAGACGTTTTGCCAAACGTCCAACTCTTATTGGCATAATTTTCAAGCTAAAATCTGTCTTAATCCAGAATGTTCAGTCAAATAAAATTCCGTAGTGAAGATACAGCTATTTTCAAAAATGTTGGTCAATGAGCAATAAAACATTTATACTAAAGGAATTTCTATAAATTTTCTCTGATTCTTTTAAAAAATGTTTTTACAATTTGGTGTATAGATTTGAATAAGTGCTACTTGTTTGTCAAGATGAAATGCCAAGCAAAAACAAGATCGTTCTTTCAAGAAGTAAAATTCTAGAAAACTCTTCTAAATTTCCGACACTCGTTGTTAAGCTGAATTTACGACACGTATGCGTAAAAGTATATWTAAATGGAGTTTTTTAAAGGAGTTATATTTATCGTTAATAACACTAAATTGCAATCGCTATGGAAATAATTTTATGTTTATTGAACAATTCTATATAGGAATTTGAAGTTTTGTTCATAATTACACATAATGCTCTCGGTTCTTTTGAATTTGTCAATTTTAAAACCAATTTTGACATATCATTCGTGCCAAATATCAAAACAAGGCTTGCAGGGGTGTCATTTCATGTACATATCGTCGAATTAATGCAGTGTCARAAAAATTGAAAGCGTTTATTCTTCCGTTCAGTGCAAAATGAATTCAAAGTCAACAAAATGGAAACCAAAGCAAACAAAGTTGTGTCTATTTTTTAAGTCCAGACAAGTTTTGCGCAAACTTAAGCGAGTATTTGCTCTTCCGCTCTCTTGCGCAAATATGAAAATACATATAGCTAATTAGACACTTTTTTAAAAGCAGCTCGGATTTTGTTTTATATCTTAAAATTTCTAATAATTTAATTTGTTGTAGTGAGCGTAGTCCAAAACGTCATAAGATAATGAAAATAACATTGTGCTAATTGAACATTAGAAAAAAAGATTTTGTAATAAATTGTAGTCTATCTGTTTTCATTAACGAACGAAAATCACTTGCGTACTAAAGTTTATTATTATTTATTGTGCACCCTTTTCTTTGTCTTTTCGGAACATCACATATTACTCCTTGCTTTACGATTTATAAAAGCCACGAATTTAGTAATAAAACGTTTTCTCGCCTGGAATAAAAGCACTTYTTACGCGCGCACATAATGTTTAAGTGTTTTTGGGTTAASCTTATTTACATGAATTTGTACAACTGCTACGAAACCTTTCAGCTCTTACCCTTAAAACCTGCAAAGTCAAGTGTGTATCCTAAAAAAAGAAATAAATAGGGTAGATCCATACAGGGGCCGTTCAATAAACCATCCGCTCCAGTCGCTGAAAGAGTGAAAAATACATAMAACAAATTATTACGTATAAACATAGCAAGCTAAGAATCGGAAATTGCTCGTAATTGAAAGAAGTTATTTTATAGCTGATACTTACCATGAAGGCTACACTGAAAAGAAAGCGCAGATTGCCAGAACAAACTTTACACCTTATTAGTTCATTATTATTAATAACTTTTGAAGTAAAATCAATCGATATTTCGTCGAGCGATGGTTGGCAGAAAAGTGAAATCAGGTTGTACCGAGGTCTCTAAGCGGTCTAGAAACTCTTTTCGTGCTTGTTAATTAAGTAGGGGAACTCCACCAAGCCCGCTGCGTTTGATGTAATGACGTGCTTGGACATATCTCTATGATAGTGCAGTTCGTAAACAAAAAAAACAGACTTCGCTAAGGGAGTTCCTTGTAAGGCTTTTTACCATGTTATTAATAGTGCAGGTGTTAGTTAAGCACTCGTAGCAGCTTTTCAACATGTTTACAAAATAAACCTAATTATAGAACGACAAAAGAAAGAGCTAGATACTTTTAGAAATTTTCCATTTTCAACAAAAGTATTTTCTAYGTGTTCATTATTCACCTTGTTGTGCCGTAATCTTATAGTATATCATTTTCACGAGTGTGCATGACATTCTACAGAAATGTATACTGTCATATTGAAATTATTTGCAACTCTATTTTTACAACAACTGTAAATTTTATCAATTTCTGATTGGTTGAGAGCCGGGACAAATAGAAGCACATACCAAGATCGCGAGGCGTTTTCTCTAGTCTCTCTTCTTTTATTGATTTTATTTTATTTTGTAAATTTATGCAAGCATTCAGAAAGCGAGAAGATTAATCGTAAATCCCCCCCCCCCCTCAAAATAATAATAATAATAATAATAATAATTCTCAATTTAATCTCGATATATGACTTGCATATGACTTTTTTGTGGTAAAACAAAAACAACAATTTGGGTCAATATGGTGAAAATGTTGACGATTCTATGGCGTAAACTGTGGTAAATTAGAGGAAATACTATAACCCTAACTATACCATAACACAGTTTACACCTATGGTTTCAAACAAGTCTCTCTCCACCTTCTCCAGCAAGATATAAGGAGTATTATGGTTTCAAATAAATACGTCGGRATTAATATTGCATTATTTACAAAAGTTGAATACACTTCTAAATTCAGCTAATTTTTGATCTACATTATGAAGACAAATCGACTTGAAGTTAAAAACTTTGTCATTTTACAAATTATATACAGAGCTCGTCTTTATCACGAACATGTTTGTTTTTGCTAAAGGGGAAGAAACTACAGTACGTTGAGAAATTGTAGCGAGGGATCAAAACAAGCTCCTGTTTCCAGGGAGGCTAAACATAGAATAAGGATGCATGCAGTGCRTTCGACAATATACTAATGGAGTGCACTATGTACTTTTTAAGAAGACATAGCGAGTATTTAACTGATAATTTTACTTCGATTAAAAGTCTGAAGCGTCAGCCAGATTAGCTACTCTTTTAGTGTGTTTTAATTTCTCCTGGTTTAGCTAAGCATTTATTAATATATTTTAAAGCTATCCTGATAGAACAAGTTTCCTGATAGAGGAATTTGTTTTGATATGGAGTGACTTTCACAATTCAATCCCAGCGCGATTTTCCGCCTTTTTGTAATTTGTTTGACGGGGTGCTGACGGGTGTTTGACGTTCTTGCTTACAACGATCAGAACCATTACTCTTTCGTGTTTTCAAAAGTAGTAAAGGAATTATCCAAGACACAATTTGTTTATTTGTTGTAATGTTACGGCATTGTATGACTAAATTATATTTTCAATCATGTTACAAATAAGTATAGATTTAGTCATTGACTGGGATAGGTGTTATACAAAATACGTTGATCTACCGTGCGAATAAGACCTATATTTTCAAGCTCATGTGACAATTGTAGTCTATTCGTTAGGTGCTTTATTTTGTATATAAACGAGGTAATTGATTATCAATAATCAAACCATAATGAACTAATAACTTTAAAATTTAAAAAAGAAAAACCTGTCTTCTGTAGTAAATTCATTTAGCGCATTTTTAAAAGTTTCGATCAAGTTACATACATGAGCATGAAGTTGCGATGCAATCAAATAGCTTTCTTTTCGTTCTATGTGCTAGTTTGGTCAGGTTAGATTCATTTACATCATAATTCCTGTCCCCCCTAATCAGTCCCCACTGAATCCTCCCTTGCTCGGGGGGGGGGGGGGGGAGGTTAAATATTATCTATCGTCGGATGAACAGACATAATTCACGCCCATATCTATACATTGTTGTCCYTKTGGGCAGGGATTTGGATCGCAGAGTGTTATCGCTGAAATAAAGGGAAACAAAAAAGTAGATTAGTCATTATAAATATCATAAGACCATGTTTGCGTCTGATTTTTCTCTGCAATATTTTTCTTTGATTCGGTAAGAACTCCGTTGTCGTAATTGGTATAATTAAAACTGATTTGATAGCTGGTCGTAAAAGAGAGGCTTTAGAATAAAGAAAAGGGCTTCCGTTATTGAGTGTATGAATCTTAGGTTTGGTCTATACGCTTAACCGTGTCACATGTCACCCACTAGAAGCAGGCAGTGACACAGGCGTTACAACATGAAAGCTTGACAAATTGCGAAGGGTCAAAACGTTTCCATATCATCAAGTCATTTGGCCGTTCACTAAATACTTTTGTGGTATCGTATTTCTGTCTTAACCATTGTCTAWAAGATAGCTCACCTGTTTCACAGTTCAATCCAGTGTATTTCGAAGCRCAGGTACATTTGAAGGAGGTGCCATCTGGAATACACACACCGGCATTTTGGCAAGGGTTGGAATCACAAGTTGTTCTTATTACTGCAACATACATACAAAACGTAATAAAATCAACTCGCAGTTAATTAGAGAATTAAGAAAATGTAAAAAATAACCAAAAACAGACAAAGAAGCAAGTACTGTTGATATTGGTATTTTGACACTGTCGAAATTGTCCAAATTATGGAATAATATTGATCCCGGCAATAGCGAGTTGCTTGCCACCATTGAGCATGGACTGGACTTCCGTTATTTCGTGTTTTAATCTTAGGTGTGGTCTATTCACTTACCTGTGTAACAAGTCACCCCAGTGTATTTCGACGCACATGTGCATTTGAAGGAGTTTCCATCTGGAGTGCACACACCGYCATTTTGGCAAGGAGTGGAATCGCAAGGAGTTGTGACTACAACATCAAACAAACATGATTAAATCAAATTTAATTAATCATAAAGAAAAGGAAAGTTCGAAAAATAACCAGAAACAGATAGGAACACAATTATTACTGTATAATCACGACATGAAAGATGTATATCACCTTCCCAAGAGCATGGAAATTGCATATTATTGTTAAATTCACGTCCAGATTCTTATTTCCAGGCGAATTAACGCCCAAACATTTTATGCCTGGTTGGTAAAGCCACCCCCAAGACCATTAATACGGACATTTTTTCGACGTCTCTTCGATGRCCGGTTTAACGAGATTACACTGTATTTCTAAGAATTCTTGCGCTCTGGTTAGTCTGTCGGTCCTTACCTACGTCACACTTTGCACCAGTGAATCCTGCTTTACAGGTACAGCTACCATGATTGCCATCCACAAACTTAGTGTTGCAGACTTCAAACGGTTCACACTGATGGCAATTGTTCTGCAAGGAATTTGAGACATAAGGTTTATACTAGTGTAGAGTAGGTTGGGGTTGTGTTGGGAACGGTATAGTAGAGTATAGTTAAGAGTACAGTAGATGGGTACAGCACAGCGAAGGGCAGCACAGTATGGAGTATAGTAGGTAGGGTGCGGTACGGCAAAATAGAACAAATTACGGTAATAATAATAATAATAATAATAATCTAAGCTTATAAAGCGCTTATAAAACTTTTTCTAAGCGCAGAAAAAAGATAAAAATTAAGGTAAAGAAAGTTACAATAGAGTTACAGATCATAAGTTTGTTTAAATAAGAAGGTTTTAAGAGCAGTTTTAAAATTATCAAGTGAAGAAATGTCTCTGATTGAAGATGGAAGTGAATTCCACAGAAAAGGTCCAGCAACACTAAAAGAACGATAACCATAACTTTTGAGATTGTAAGACTTGGAAGACAGTACCAGTTGAGAAGACGAACGAAGGCAACGAGAAGGACGATATTTTTCAAGCATGTCTTGAACATAAATAGGAGCCAGGCCATGAAGGGTTGGGTATGATGGATAGAGTAGAGCATACAGTAGAGTASAGTAGAGTGAGTAGGGTAGAGTAGAGAATCCTACCTTTGCTCTGCCATAAAATGTTCCCTCTTCACCAATAAGATCRTTTGGATGCATCACGTGGTCTGAATCGCTCAATTGGCATTTGTTTTTGCTCACAATAAAATTGTAACTRATACAACGGTGACGATGGTTTCTGTAGCACCTCCTACGACAATCCCTTCGGTCCGAGGMCCACTTGGCCGTGAACACGTGACCTTTTAAGGCTTTGTGGTCAAACTCGTCATCAGATTTGAAAGTCATCGTTTTGCATTTTGCGTTGACTGAAAAGATATAATTTTCGACGAAAGTCAGTAAAGTCTGCGTCTTTTCGATGCGTTTTGTGTTGCGTCATAGATAGAACTTTAGAAACGTAAGATCTGTGTCTTTTCGTTGCGTTTTGGTCTTGCGTTAGAATAAAAACGACCTTTTAYGATAAGCTTTTTAATACTGATAGAAAACAACGATCTTTATTAATCAGAAATTTACAACACATTTTTCTGAAAATCTCTTGGTAATTCACCCACCAAAAACGTGCGTATTATATTCAGTCCCTACTGATGAATGTGCAGAGGGAAGAGTATAAACGTCTGTATGGACCAACGCAATCGATGTGTAAACGTAGCATTTATTGTAAAAGGTGCTTATCTGCAGTGTGATTATATTTTCGTGCGATTATCGGCGTTTTTGAAAATATAAAAAATCCATTTTTTCATGGTACAATTGATATTGCAAGAGAAAATTGCGGTAGACTTTTTTTTAAACACAAAACTTTAGTCGATCAATTATTAATGGAGAGTTATTACACAGTTTGGAAAACGGACTTCGCATTGAATTGTTCATTCATTCATTAAGAACTTCCAGAACACTTTCTAAATCTAAGGAAGCGCATTATTCTTCACTGTGTTATTAGATGCTTAAATAATACATGGTAGGGGTCAAACGTCGAACTTTATTGCATCGTTAATGGTCGAATTTATTTTAGCACTAAAATCATAAGTGGAACTTTTCAGAAAGTTCAACTTTCAAAATGTTCAGTGAAAATCTCAAACGCGTTTACGATATAAATGAAGACAATTGATTAAGGCTCATGCTAAGTACGGCGTTTGACCAAGGTGCTATAGAGGATATAACATGGGCGCGCGGAGATACGGGTTTTATCTTCGAGTGTTGAAAAGATCTCTCACGAGTGAGCGTAGCGATTTTCAACACGAGAAGATAAAATTCGTATCTCCAAGCGACCATGTAATATTCTGTTTATCATATAATTACATAAGAAAGCAAATTATGTCGTAAAATATATTTTTTCTTTTACTATATACAGAACCTCGAATGTGTTATTTTCACTAGTGAAAATATCAATTTTACGAAATGGAGAAATAGGTATTTCATAGATAATTATATGATAATTAACACTAACAAACAATGTATGAAATAAAATTTTGGTCAGGACTTGGAAGATACTTCGAGAATTTTCTCTCATAGAAATTGTGAAATTCTGATTCAAGAATTCATTCTTTGTGCAGACAAATGATTAAAATAAGTAAACTGAACTTTTAATTTYTCATGACAATATATAATTACAATAAACAGCTTGAAGAATCAATGGGAAAGCTCATTAAGAAATTYAAAAATGCGTCTCAAAGGATGGAGAAGATGAGGCTTTTTAATGTTTTTAAAAGCTTGTTTTGGTTTAGTCTTCGCAACTTGTTTTTTCTTTCTTTTTCCCTTGTACAAATACCATTTTAATTCTTTATGCTGGACGCAAGACATGTTTAATGTTGATTTCAATACTTTTGCAAACGGCTTAAGTTCTTGGTTTACGGTAATTTAGTTTTCTTTTATGAAAATCGACATTAAATAGGTAATGAAAATGTTTTTCTTCCTTTGAAAATAGCGTCTTGCAATCTTGCCAAATTTGAGAGTGATTTATTGAGAATTTTCGAAGATACAATCCCTCAAAGTCAAGGAATTTTACAAWTAAGCGAACGTAAGCTTAACTGACAGACAACCTTCTACATTTCTTAGTAAAATTTGATGTCTTTGAACCAATGCATCTCTCCATAGTTTGTTTCTTTGAAAAGTCAGCGTCATGATTTTGAAGGAATCGTATCATATTTAATGGGATTTTTTTTGAATATTTTTCAACTTAATCTATATAATACCGTAACATTAATGAATGATATCAATTTTTTGTTGATTCCTTTTTTGGTATAAATATATACAACATAGTTTCAAAGTCTCATTKGAAGTGAAACATTCAAGCTACAAATACACAAAATAAACAAACGTCAGTTCTTTGAGA